CCTTCCTTACACATGGTACTTGGACGTGGCTTCCGGGCTTCGGGCTCTAAGGGTGAGCGGCGCTTATGTATTCGGTGAATTAGTATAGGCGGGAGAGGTGGTGTTTATTAACTGCCTACTGTGTGCCAAGCATTGTACTCAACTCCTACTCCGTTCAAAGGCCTGGCTGCTGACGGCTGCCATCGATCCTGGTAGGTAACGGAGAGCAAGGCGTGGAGAGGGGCATGGGCTGCTCAAAGTGACAAAACTAGTTGGGCGGCTTGTGCACTCCGCCGCCCCTCCTCCCATGGGCAGTAGAGCTAGGAGGGAGGGGCAGAGTATATGGCGTCCTGTTCCAAATGGCCAGCGCATGGCGCCAAGTGTGGTCCTGTGGCAGGTCCCAAGTGCACACGCTGTTGTCCCGTGTCTGGGTCTTGAAGTTACTTGGTGGCTGTTGGTAACCGGACAGCCAGCTGCACAGTGGCCAGAAGGTGACCTATTGTCTTTGTCTTCGTGGGTGGCCAGCCTGTCACCCCTGTTAATCATTGACAGCCAGTGCGAAGGTGCCAGCCAGGACTGCCAGGGAGAGCGCAGTAGTTGGGCACAGACAGACAGACAGCGGTGTGGATCTGGGCCCTCCTGATAGAAGAGCAGAGAGAGGAAAGGCTGCTATCCTCCTGACTCCAGAGAACTGGTCCACCAGGGAGATGCTTCCCGGATGCTTCTGAGAAATCCCTAAAAATAGCTGCTTCAACCCCTAAGTGTCCCTATTCCATGAAACACTGATGTACAAGACTGGTGAACCAATGTACGGAAATGATGGGGGAAAAAAAAAAACTACTGCCCTCACTTAAAAACAACACTGTAATGCCAGCACTTGGGAGGCTGAGACAGGAGGATCACCATGAGTTTGAGCCCAGCCTGGGCCACATAATGAGTTCAGGACCAGCCTGAACTACATAATGAAACCCTGTCTCAAAAAACCAAAATCAAACAAACAAACAAACACTGCTTCACCTATAATCCCAGCACTCAGGAAGCTGAGGCAGGAGGATTGCTTCAGGTTTGAGGCCAGCCTAGACTACATAGTGAGTTCAAGGGCAATCTCAACTACTTAGTGACACCTTGTCTTAAAAACAAAAACATAAGAACACTGCTTAATTTTAAGCAGTTTGAGAGTATGTGTGGCTTGAGGGTCAGAGCCAGGAGCCTTTGGTGGGAACTGCAATGGCTGGGCTTGGGTGGGGAAACCCATGGCCAGCTTCCCTCCCACAGAGATCCGGGCAGGTTCTGGGAGGCTGGGCACTGGGTGGTTTTATTTCTGAAGTGGCGCTTAAGGAGAGGCTTCAGCTTACCTGGCCCCTTCCTCCCCGCCGCATTTCTGTTCCGCTTTTGCCCTCTGTACGAACCTCGCAGTCGCACGCGGCTGAGGATCCTGTGGCCCGCGGCGATGGTCTGCACTGGCACTGCGACCCGTGTAGCATTCCATTTTCTTGTTTCCTGTGGCTGTGGGAACCCGGGAGGCCTCTTGAACAATCCCCCATCTTTTTATTGTTCCAAGAGTCTGGTGAAGCATTTGAACTTTCACCTGTCAAAATCACTTTTGGAATGAAGACGGCTTTCGCTGCAGCTTCTTAGAATAGCAGGGTGAAGGTATCGTTTATCCAAGTGAGACTTTCATGGGGGCTTTTCCGCTTGGACACCCACCTTGAATTCATTGGAAACAGAAGTTCTGGGCGTTGTATGTTTCATCCATTTGGGTCAGATTTTAACTGGGTCATATTTCCCCCAAGATTTTTTTTAAAAGGGCTCTTGTTTCATTGCTTTACAGCAGCATATGTAAGCTGGATAAAAATAGCTCAAACTCTCCATGTTTTGAGTTATATATTCAATCTGCAGGTTTCCTTTTTTTTTTTTTTTTTTTAAACAGCATCGTTTTTTGTTGTTTTTGCGTCAGGGTTTTACTATGTAGGCCGGGCTGACCTCGAACTCATGGTGGTCTTCCTGCCTCAGCCTCCTGAGTGCTGGGATTGCAGGCGTGTGCCACCATGACTAGCTATAGGATTACTTTTGAAGAACGTTTTAGATGAGACATTCTAGGGCTGGGGACATAGCTCAGCGGCACAGCATCTGCCTGACAAACACAAGGTCGTGAATTCAATTCCCGGTACCCAAAAAAAAAAAAAAAAAAAAAAGATGAGGTGAGACATTCTAGTCCCTGCAGAGCCCCTGAGGTACAAGAGCGTGATGCCTCAGATGTGCCAGGTTACCACCGTTGCCCTGACTGTGTAGCTGTGTGCACATGTTTTACATCAGTTTTTTTTCCCCACCTTTTTGAAGATTGCTCTCCTGTCTTTATCTTGAATAAAGAAAACTGGCTTGGAAGTTGGTTTGGTGTGGACTTTCTGATGATTGTAAGTAGTAACTTGATAATAGCATTTCAAAAATCACATTTATAACGGGACATCTAGTGCAAACAGTTAAGTCACAGTCAAGGACTGTCGCCTGGAGAAGCGGCAGCACTTGTGGGGTGAACTGCTTGGGAGTCTGAGCGCGGTGCAGAGCCCAGGGCTCTATGCAGACCGTGGCTGCTGTGTTGACTGCAGGACACTCAGGGGCTGAACCAGCTATTTTTAGGGATTTCTCAGAAGCATCCGGGAGCATCTCCCTGGTGGACCAGTTCTCTGGAGTCAGGAGGATAGCAGCCTTTCCTCTCTTTGCTCTTCTATCAGGAGGTCCCAGATCCATACCACTGTCTGTCTGTCTGTCTGTGCCCAACTACTGCGCTATCCCTGGCATTCCTGGAATGCTTTTTGTAACTTTTTCTTTTTTCCTAAGCAGGGTCTCCTTATGTAGTTCATACTGGCCTTAAACTCCCTATGTAGCCCAAGCTGGCCTTGAACTCATGGGGATCCTCCTGCCTCAGCCTTCCATTACAGGCGTGCTTTTGAACAAAAGGCTCTCCATTTCCATTTTTAAATTATTTATTAATTTTTTTTCATTTCCATTTTTTATAGGAGCCCATGAATTATGTATGAGTAATTAATCCTGCTAGTTGTGTGTGTGTGTGTGTGTGTGTGTGTGTGTGTGTAATTGACTGCATAGAAAATCCCTGGAAGCTGCTGGATGTTGTGACACATGCCTGTAATCCTGACTCCTCAGGAGGCCACGGCAGGAGGATGACAAGTTTGAGGCTATTCTGGGCAACTCAGTGAGACACTATCTCAAAATAAAAGAATAGAAAGTGCTCGGGATGCAGCTCAGTGGTAGAATTCTTGTCTAGCACCCACAAAGCCCTGGATTTAATCTCTAGTACCAAAACCAAACCAAACCAAACCAAACCACAGTCTCCTGATACCTTAACTTGGCATGAGGATTGTTTGAGTTTAGTCTTGTCAGCCAGTTCGCAGTAATCTTTATTTGTCCAGTGTAGATAGATGATCACACATAGATGATCTAGACAGACGATCGCATGTAGAGGATCAGATGTAGATACTGAATGTACAGCCGTGAAGTTCTTTCTGGTTTCTGTGGGTTTGGGTGTGGGCTTTAAAATAAGGTCTTTTGTTGCAAGAGACGGAACAACAGGTTAATTTTTTTAAAAAGCCACAGCTTTGCCGTTTTGAGTGGCAGGCCACGCGGGCCCCGGCAGCATGGGCGTGTTTGTCACGTGGCTGTCATTGGCTTTCGTTATGTGCAGTTGGCTTGTGTTTAACCAAGAGTTCAGGTGGCTGCTGGTGGCTGCGTGGGACAGGTTGGGACGATGGCTCTGCGATGAAGTTCCAGTGGGTGACGTTGGGAGGGAGAGAGAAAAGAGAACGAGGTGGTGTTCGCAGATGGGGCCTGCAAAGTGGACGGAGAACCGGAAGGGCTGGTGGCAGGCGGCATTCGTCATTTTGGAGGACCTTGGCTTATCATTTACCCTCCTGGCAACTGAGACTTTGTCCAGTGGCTTTGTCCTCTTCAGGGTTTCCCCTTCTGAATGACTCACTTGTCAGAGAAGCAAAGATGAAGACAGTCGGTAGCACCCATTGTTGGTGAGACTGGCTTCTTGAACCTGTACATCGGCGTGTAAATAGAAATAACTTTACAGGGAAAAGATGACTAGGACATAAGTATTAGTGGAAAAAATTTGCAAAACCAACCATAGGCCAGACATGAGGGCACACACCTGTCATCCCGGTATTCTAGGAGGCTGAGGCAGGAGGATCACAAATTTGAGTTGTTTAGCCTGGGTAACTTAGCAAAACCGTGTCTCAAAATAGAAAATAAAAAATGGACTGGGGATGTAGCTCATGGTGAAGGCCCTGAGTTCAATCCCCAACTGAGAAGAAAAAATTGGACATGTAGATCAAGGTGGAACACTTGCATGTGTGAGGCCCTGGCTTTGATCCACAGCAACAAAAAGACAAAGCAACAGACAAACCAACAAAAAGGAAAACACAACAAAGCCTAATCCTAGAGCAGCACACACGTAGCTGTTAGTGTGTGGGGGGTCCACACAGAGTGGTGGGTTATGTGGCGTCAGGTATCAGGTGGTTGTCTGTGGGGCAGCCACTCCTTTTCCTTGGTCTGTATCTCTGAACTTTTGTTTTCCTTTCAGCTTTTTGGGACAGGGTCTCACTATGTAGTTCAGGCTGGCCAAGGCCTGAGCTCACTATGTAGCTAGGCCTGACCTCAAACTTGTGGTGGTCCTCCTTCCTGCCTCAGTTTCCCTCCCGAATGCTGGGCTTACAGGTGTGTGCCAACATACCTGGTGTGGTTTCTTTCACTGGTAAAAATTGTATTATGGAGAACTAAATGAGACGCTAATATAATACATTGCCATAATCCAGCGGCCCCAGTAAGTAACACTTTATAATCATTTTCCATCCACTCGCATCCTCCAGTATTCCCAGGCAAATATTGTCAGTCTTCCTTTCACTCTCAGGGTGGTTCTCTACTTTTACTTTTTCTACAAAGAGTGCGATGTTCACACTTGCATAACCAAAGGGTGACCACGCCTGTGCCTGTCTCCTCAGACAGCAAGGCCATTGTGGATGGAAACCTGAAGCTCATCTTGGGCCTGGTATGGACGCTGATTCTCCACTACTCCATTTCCATGCCCGTGTGGGAGGATGAAGGGGACGATGATGCCAAGAAGCAGACGCCAAAGCAGAGGCTGCTGGGATGGATTCAGAACAAGATCCCCTACCTGCCCATCACCAACTTTAACCAAAACTGGCAAGATGGCAAAGCCTTGGGAGCCCTGGTGGACAGCTGTGCGCCAGGTAAGTGCCCTGACTACCTCAGCCGTGTGCTCCGCATGAGAGCATGTGGGTCTGAGCCTGTGGCTTTGCTGTGATTGCTGTGTGGGGCCAGATGTGCTCTGCTCGCCCCTCCTTTGGCAGGGCTTCTAGGTGTATCCGTAGGCACGTTTAAGCAGGAAACCCAGTCATCTGTGCAAATTCCCCATGAAGGTTTTAGTGCTTGTGCTTCAAGCAGGCTTTGGGTTTAGCTTTAGGACTCCAAAGTCCTATCTCTTCCCACATTGATGCCTAGCTTCCCCTTGGCTTTAGCAGAAACATGTGGTCCTGTTAGGTGGCTTGGCATGAAAATCTAAAAAATTCCACTGAGTGGAAAGTACCCTTTTTTATTAACCACTGGTTTGACTATATAAGGCTTTCCTTGCCGTTTTCTTTGTGTATTGCTGTGGAATCACATTCGGTCAGGATCCAATTGGAGACTTCTCCATCCGTGGTTGAGTGTACCCCGCAATTACAATTATCCTCATTGGAGGGTTTAGATAGATCAGTGGAGTCTGCTGGTACACACTCAACAGCAAAACCAGAACCAGTGTTTATACACCCCTCCCAAAATTGTTTTTAATTTTAAAAAGCCTAATAATTATATTTTCCTTTTATCAAGTATTCTATATGTGCTAGGCGTGTTACTATTTAGTAAGGCAGTGGTTCTCAATGTGCTGAGAGCAGAGAGCAAATGTCCGCTGAGGATGGGAGGAGGGCTGATTCAAGGCCTCCTTCTTCCTCCACAGGCTCTAAATTGGTGTTACTGGGGAATTATTTGAAACAGTGTTCATTTCCTTGTGCCTTCTTCTTTCTGTCTTCTGACACAACTTAGGATGCCTCTTTCCAGTTTAAATTCGAGGATTTTTACTCTAGTTCTTTATGACTTGTGCTTATAACCCCCTAAAATAATTGTAGGATTGCTGGCTCCCATCCTGCTTTTGGGGATAGCATCTCATTCTGTAGTGCAGGCTGGTCCTGAACTCACTATGTAGCCCAGGCTGATCTTGAACTTGAAGCAGTCCTCCTGCTTCAGCCTCCCAAGTGCTGGAATTAGAGGTGTGCACCACTATGCCTGGCAGTATTGTGCCTTTGAGCAAGTGGATTTTTGAATCACACTCTATGTTAATTCTGTCCTTTTAGATGTAGCCAGGAATAGGGTAAAAAAATCTCTCCTGTGAAAAGGCACCAGGCCCAGACAGTTTTACAGTATTTGCTTATATAGCAGACCTTCAGGAATGTGAAATGCCTCTTACTGCAAGATAGCACCCCAAAGGAGAAATCAGTGTTAATGTAGAATAGTTGCCATTCTGCTACACTATCTGTAGCAAAATTTGCCCATAAAATGTGTAATTCACCGAGAATTTGGGGGAGTTGAGACCAGATGAGTTTATTTTTTGGCCTGTGGTTTTTTGCAATCTCTTTACTCAGCTCATGCTAACGGCGTCTTGTGTGTGTGTCAACAGGTCTGTGCCCAGACTGGGAATCCTGGGACCCACGGAAGCCTGTGGATAACGCCCGAGAAGCCATGCAGCAGGCAGACGACTGGCTGGGTGTCCCACAGGTGTGTAGGCGTGGACCGTGTCCCGCCAGGCCGCTCCCACCCTCTGGCTTCTTTCTGGCACTCAGAAACAGGGCACCTTTCTGGGTCAGACAGGCAGTTGATCTTCTCAGCATTCAGCCTTACCTTGGCTTTGCATTGTCTTTCTTCCGTCTTCTTCCATTTCCCGTGATAATAGCTTCCCGTGGGCCTGGAACCTGTACCTCATCCAGAAGTCTTCGTGTCTCTCTTCTTTGTCACATGCTGGAAATGTTTCTGTTCTTTTTGCTGCATATGAAAATTTTTAACTGTTAGTCTGAGCCATGGATACTGTGGATGGTATCTAAGAGATACACACACACACACACACACACACACGTATACAAACCTATATACAAAATGTATACATCAGGAAAAGAAAAACTTGGATAGGTATTTTAGTATTAAATGTATTGAGGTATGGGATTAATACAAGTTAGCTTTGGTCTCTACAGTTACAAGAGGTGTTCAAAATAGTGGCCATGAGCTTCTAGACATTGTTAGTACACTGAACCGCTGAAGAGGGTATACATTTTTTTGGTGGAATCTATCTATCTATCTTGCCATTAATGGAAATTGTGGAAGAACTTAACAGTATTCATAGTCCTATCACAGAAATAACACAAAGAACTTGGAAACTGAAAAATCTTAGGTACCATCCACAGTAGCCATGTTGCTCAGTTGAGTCCAGTCTGTTAACAGGGAGGAAAAGCACCCTGGCTTCCAAGCTCAAAACCCCGTCCAAGAGCAGGTCGAGGTGGCCGGTGCTCCGGACCTCACACCTCTCTCTGGGCTCTGCTGAGGTCAGCGTTGGTATTCAGAGCTCAGTGCAGTGTGTTTGTAACAGGGTCCTTTGGAAGGTAGAAGCTTGCCCGTTCCTTTGGTTTGGTTTGGAAGTCATGTCTCTGCTGCACAATGTTTCTTGGCTCGTCCCCCTCAGGAAGTGGTGTGGTGTGTTTTTCTTCTCATCTTAAGCCTGAAACCATCTCCTTTAAACGTTCATGTGTTGTTGGCACAGGGACGCTGTTAAAGGAGCCGAGGAGAAATGCCCAATCAGCGCACATCCTACTTTGAATGGAATGTTTCGTAGGCGACTGCTCAAACCCAAATAGCTATTTTGCTCTTGTGGGTTAATGTGCAGTGTTCTCTGGTGCTTTCTGTCACAGGGAGGGGGAAACTGAATTCATCTGTTAGTCATTTGATTAACCTGGCTTATGGGACGGAGCCTTCGTTTATCCAAGGAGGTGTGGCTTACATATGGCAGGCACCAAGGTTGAAGGTGGAGAGAACTTTGTGAACTTTGGAGGGGGTCAGGTGGATCTGAGATTATTGACTCCTTCAAGGAGATCGCTTGTCTCGTCCTGCTGTTAAGCTGTATGTCAGGAGAAAGTCACTCCTTACATTTTTTTGTCTGAGACAGGGTCTTGCTATACAGTTCAGGCTGACCTTGAGCTCACTTTGTAGCCCAGGCTGGTTTTGAACTTGCAAGAATCCTCCTGCCTCAGCCTCCTGAGTGCTGGGATTACAGGTGTGTGCCACCATACCCAGCCTTATTTTTCTTTTTAAAGAAATGGCTCCTAATATTTAGTGACAGCTTTCCTAATAAGTCTCTGTGTTGTCACTTACTGTTTTTTCCTGTTAATCAGTAAGTATTACTAGAGATGCAGACAGTAAATATATGAGCAAAAGAAGAGACCCTTTTATGAGCTTTGTGGGTAGTATTTCTAATCATGTGTGCTTATTTCTTCTTTCTCCTGTCTTGGTATAGTTTATTTCTTTATTCTTTCTGGAAAGTTTGATGAGGGGATTAAATAAAATCTTATTTGGGGAGGTGGAGGACATGTAAAATTTCCTGGAGATTGTCCCACAGTTTCCAAAGGAGCTGGTGACGCCTCTAAAAACTCTGGGATGTAGCTCAGCAGCACAAGTGCCTGCCTGGCCAGTGCAAGGTACTGAGTTCAATTCCTGGTACAAAAAAAAAGGGAACTAAAACTCTGATCTCGGTGTTTGGTTGAAGGTAATTTCACTTCAATGAAAAACTGACTCACTTTCTTTGTATTTGTAGCATCTTGTGGTACAGAGTGATGTGGGCATTCACCTGCTGTGTCGTTATCCAGGTCATCACTCCGGAAGAAATCATTCACCCGGATGTGGACGAGCACTCGGTGATGACTTACCTGTCCCAGTTTCCCAAAGCCAAACTCAAGCCGGGTGCTCCTCTTAAACCCAAGCTCAACCCAAAGAAAGCCCGGGCCTACGGCAGAGGTAAGTGTGCGTCCTGTTGGATTTGAGGCTTGTCCTCTGGTGTTATTGGCTTCAAGAGAAATGTTCTCAGGATAAGAAAGACAGAATTGGCTTAATCCTTAAAGATAGTCTAGGCTTCCTTTGTCACTTTTTTTTAAACCTAAGATTCACTTATTTATGTTTTGTTCTTCTGGTTTTTTGAGATAAGGTCTCACTATGTAGTTTAGTCCAATCTTGAACTTACTATGTAGCCCAGGCTGGCCTCCAACTCACAGTGACCCTCCTGCCTCAGCCTCTCAAGTGCTGGGAATACAGGTGGGCACCGCCATGCCTGGCAGATTCATTTGTTCATGACTATCATATTCTGCTTCGTTAATTGAAGGCTTTAAAAAATGCTTGTGTTACATGATAGGGAATGCTGATACTGATTTTAGTGCAGTAACTTCGGTGGGACTAAGAAAGGGCCACAGTGCGTTCTTTTTCAAAAGAGGAATCTGAGCTGGGCCCCCTGGGTGGGGATGGGTCTTTTCCCAGGTTCCCAGTCAGTGTGGGGTTGGGCAGGACTCAGGGTCATCTGGCTGCTGACTCATTTCTCCTGTTGGGCAAAAGCTGCCTCAGATTCCCAGATGGGGTGGGAGCTATTGTTAACCCCTGGCGGACGCTTCCTTTCGGAGACATCCTGTTTATGACTCGGACGGACCTCTAGGACACTGAGCCGCTCAGAACGTGACAGCAGGTTCAAACCATTTCGAGGCCCTTACTGCTCCGGCTGCTGTCTGAAAGCACACTAGCTTTATTTTATTTTGTTTTATTTTAATTTAGTTTTTGAGATAGAGTCTCACTATCTGAGGCTGGTCTTGAACTCACTGTGTAGCCCAGGATGGCCTTGAACCCACAGCGATCCTCCTGCCTCAGCCTCCAGCCTGAGTGCTGGGATTATAGACATCTGCCTCCACGCCTGGCTGGCACACTGACTCGTAAGAGGAGAGTACAGTTGCATCGCTGTGCAGTTTGCATTCTGGTAACAGCACAGTGAGGTGTAGCTTACTGTTTTTCCACGGGGAAGAGAAGTACATTTTATTTCTTAATTTTCATAATTACAATTGGGATAACATTTATACACACAGGATATCCTCTATATGCTCTCCTAGAATGGATTGTTGTTACCACTGCAACTTAATAATTTTCTCTTTCCCTGTGTGTGTGTCTGTGTGTGTATGAGAGAGAGGGAGAGAGAGTGTATGTGTGAGAGAGAGAGAGTGTGTGTGTGTATGTTGAATTGTTTGAAGATAAGTTGCAGGCACGATGACAGTTTACTCCTTCACACATCAGTGAATCTCCGCTAAGAACAGGACATTGTTTACATAACCACAGTATTCATTATCACACACAGGAAGATGGGCAATCGTTTCATATCATCTAATACTCAGTTTGTATTCGATTTGTCCTAGAATTTTTAGTTATAGTTCTATAAATCAGATCTGATTAAACACAGGGTATGGTGGTGCACACCTGTAATCCCAGCACTTGGGAGGCTGAGACAGGAGGATCACTGTGAGTTCAAGGCCAGCCTGAACTACAAAATGAGACTCTGTCTCAAAAAAGAAAAAAAAAGATCTGATTAAGGGTCACTTAACATTTGTTTATTATTTCTCTTTAGGCTTTTATTTTTCGTGTAGACAAATTCCCCTGTTTTTTCAGTAGCACTGACTTTGGGAGATCCAGGCGTCTATCTCACAGGCTGTCGCATGCATGTACGCCCTTCAAGTATAGGGTTACCCTGCCTGGCGTCACTTCACCCACAGGATAACCCACGGCCAGGTCTGAGCTGCTGACTAGTGCTGCTCTCTCCGCAGTGGCCAGACCTTCTCCTCTGTCTTTTGGGCAGTGCTTTAGACCAGCAGAGAGCCTGGACATGCTGGTTTGGGAACCCTTGCTGTCTGTGGTTCTGTCCTGCCGCGGGCGGGTGTGTGCAGTCGTTTGTGTCTGTGTAGGGATGGAGGACATCACTGGAGGCCGGTCACTCCATGGCCGGCCTGCCCACCCTTTCTTTCTCTAAGCCATAACCAGAGTGGGTGCCGGAGTGAGGAATCTCCAAGTTGAAAGACTGTGCTTCCCGAATGACAGGAAAGCTACTGCCAAATAAAACTCTTGTCAACAGAACTGGCCCACTGGATTGAATCTAATCAAAGCATAAAACACTTGTTTGTAGTGACTTATCGCTGGCCGTCCCGTTTCCCCCTCGTTAATGTGAGGTGGTTTCCTTTCCCAGTGCTGTTCAGTAGAAAATGACCGCTTGCTAGGATTCAGGAATGTAGCTGGCCACTGCCGCTTCCTTTCTCTGTCTTTGTGAGCATGTGCACTCCTGCGGGGAAGCATGCCTTTTTTTCTTTCATATTTATGTGGATGTCTGTAGGTTCTTTGCATTTTTATTGTGGAGATATAAAGTGTGTGTGTGTGTGTGTGTGTGTGTGTGTGTGTGTGTGTATCTATAGATCTGTATCTATATAGATATACCCACGGCCATGTCCAAAAGCAGCACTGGTCAGCAGCTCAGACCTGGCCGTGGGTTATAGATATAGATCTATAGATCTATAGATAGATATATTTTTTTTAGTGAACCGAGAAGAACCAAGTCAGATGTTGGTTCTCATCCAATTCCATTTGTGACCTGAATTGTAGAAAGAATTAAGTTTGTGAACCAAGGTCTACCTCTTTCTCTCTCTCCCTGTATATATAATGCAAACATATATATGTATTTAACAAAAAATTGAGCTTTTAAACCATTTTTAAGTGTTCTCATGGCCTTAAGTACTCTTTCTTTTTTTGAGACAGGGTCTCACTCTGCAGTTCAGGCCAACTTGGAGCTCACCTTATAGCCCAGGCTGGTCTTGAACTCATGACGATTCTCCTGCCTCAGCCTCCCAAGTGCTGGGATTACAGGCGTGCACCACCATACTGGCGGCCTTAAGTACATTCACAGTATCATACAAACACAACCACTATCCATTTCCAGAATTTGTAAACTTCCCAAACTAAAACACCATATTCCCTGAACAATAACTATTGATTCTTCCCTTCCCCGGCTCTTGGGAAGCTCTCTCCTGTTCTATCTGAATTTGCATAGGTACCGGTAGAAGTGTCGTATGTTATCTGTACTCTTGTGTCTGGCTTACTTCACTTCGTACATGTTTTCAGGGTTCACGCATGTTGTAGCATGTACAAGAATTTCCTTTTTGCGGCTGAATAATACTCTGCCGTATCACATGCGAGATTTCAGTTCCGCATTCGTCTGTGGCTAGCCATGGGGGTCATTTTCCCCTTTGAGCTGTTGTGAGTACTCCTGCGTTGAATGTGGGTTTACAAGTACCCGAGTGTGTGCTTTCAGCTCTTTTGAGTCTGCTCCTAGCGGCGGCATGGCTGGATCCTGTGGAATTCTGTGTTTAACTTCTTTTTCTCAAGTAAAGTGAGAAGACAAAGTGGTCATTGTGAGTGACAGGGCCGTGGCGTGGGGGGCTGCTGTACAGGGTCCTGTTCCATGGTGAGACAAGAGCCAGGGCCTCTTTTGCATTCCCTCCCTTCCGTGTGGCTGCATGGCTGCGATTCTGCCTCCCAGAGCCAGGATTAGAGAATGTTTCATTAATTTCTACAAGAGTTGAGAGGTTGGCCTGATTTTATCCTTGGGATCGGAACAGAGTCTCGGTGCCAGCCAGCTAGCACTTACACACCCGTCCGTGGAGCCCTGACTTGCCTCATTTGAGTGGGTTGAAAGGGGAGCCGGCTGGGGAAGCGGACCTGCAGCCACAGACAGGCCTTTGTGGTGGGCTGCCTGCGGGCGTAGGGTTGTTGAGAGCCTCCATCCATGAGCTAAGCAGAACCCTTTCCAAAGCTTTGTTCTGTGTGAAGCGTTTACCGCATAGCAAGCATGAAGTCTGAGGTCCAGCCGTGCCTGCGCGTGGGGAGCTCGGCCGTGCGGGGCGCGAGCGTGGGGGTGTAGCTCGGCCCCCACAGGCCTGAGCGGCCTCTGTCAAACTGGGGAGTTGTTTCTCAGGCAGTCAGAGTCAGTGCAGTGGAGGCGGATCAGTACTGTAGATGCGGGTTTAAGTCTCTGTGTAAGATGACCTGATCCTTGTGTAAACTTTAAGCAAAAGAAAAATGTAGAAAATAAAAAACGGAAAGCCCACCTCTTAGCTGCCATTCACTTTCCTCCCCTCGAAATCTCAGGCCTTTTTGCCTATCCTTTCTTTGTGTTGAAATGTGTTCAAACTGTGTTTTTTGTCACTTGGTGTTTCTTACCTCACAGAGTGGGAATGTATGTAGAGGACAGTACCACAGAGCCCGGGTCTTCGGCAGGCTGCTGGGATGGACAAAGAGGTGGAGTACATTCCAAGAGAAAATGAGATTTAAGAGATTATACGAACCTTATTTGGACCAATAGGAAACTTCATGAAGTGCTGTTCAACATTCAATTTAAAAAAAAAACAAACTTCATGAAATTTATAAAATAATTAGAACCCTAACTGAATGTTTGAAGATATGAAGGAGTTATGAATTTTTTGGACTTTATATTGGAGACTGTTTTTTTTTTTTGTTGTTGTTTTTGGTGGTAGTTCTAGGGATTGAACCTAGGATCTTCACACTGAACTACATCCCCAGCACTCCCCCAACCCCATTTTTTTGAGGCAGGGTCTCACTAAATTGCCGAGGCTGGGCTTGAACTTGCGATCCTCCTGCCTCAGCCTCCCAGAGTGCTGGGGTTACAGGTGTGTACCACCACTACAATGTCTTTTAAAGACATAGTGAATGGTTTTTTTGAACTAGGAATCGAACTCAGGACTTTGCACTTGCCAGGTAGGCACTGTAGGGCTGAGCTATACTCCTGGCCTTGAATGCTTATGATAAAAGTTGAGGTCTAGAATTTGTACTAAAATGATACAGGAGGAGGGAAGAGGCCAGAGTGAAGGTGAAATAGTTGTTGAAACAAAGTGACAGGTATACAGTTTGTCGGGCAGTTCTCTCTG